CCCCCCCCCCACATACGTTGTGTCATTATTTCGGTAACTCCCATGCCAACTTCATTTTCCTATTTTATAAAATTCTGTCAGGAACATAACAGCAGAACTGCGCACGGGATCGTTTTGCTTCATTGCTATTTCATATTAGAAATGCGCAAACACACCTTTTTTAACTAAATGCAGCACCGCAAACATTTGAGTGCACACGGACATTATCAAGGACCAAAATAAAAACAACTATCAGTCATCATAGCAACGCTTCAGCAAGGCATGGCTGTTTGCATCGCAACAAGTATGAATTGCTATTCTGGCAGGAGTGACAGTGCAGCGTCGCAGCCTTTGCTCTCCATCCATTTTGGAGCCACTTATCCTCCACTACGGTCGCGAGCATGCGATAAAGTCGCTCGCTGCCGTCTGCGCGTTATTAAACGTCATCATCTGGGGATGAAACTTGACTTTGCGCCGCGGGTTACCGTAAGTCAGCGTGGAGGAAAGAAAGAAACGCAACAGTCCCGAATAGAGCGATTTCGCGCTCGTTGTCGTTCCAAATAGCCCGCTTTGCGCGGAACGGATCCGGTGGCACGGCAGCACAGTTTGAGTGGTGACCGTCTCGGCCGGCCCGGTTTTCTTGACGTTGCCTCCTCCGCCTTTGGAGGCTGCCGGACCCGATGGCGGTCAACGCAGCTCCCGCTGGTCGCACCATCTCTTCCGAGATGTCGAAAGTGCGGTAAAAGGTCGCTCGAAGCCGTCACTTTGCACTGGAATCCATTAAGCCGGCACGTTTGCGGTATCCGGCGGCCAAAGTAAAAGTACAATTAAAAAGGAAAAGGTGCGGCTCGTTCATCATCGCGCTCCGGCGGCGGACAAGAAAAGCCCGCTGTCCCGCCGGCGTTTAATCGATCGTTTTTAAGTTTGCGTTCCAAAAGAAGATCAAGCGCCGGCGAAACCCTGCGTCTCAAAAAATGTCCTCACCGACATCCCTCGTCCAGCGTGTCGGGGCTCCTCGTTTTCTCCTCTCGTAGCGGCAGACGAGCGCGGTGGGGGGAAGATGAAATATTTGGGGGAAAGGAGGCGAAGCATTTCGACGTCTTCATTTCGTGGCGACGTCTCCTAAAGATGACGTCACGTCATAGAAATGGAGCCTTTGTGTGGCTAAATGACGGCTGCCGCCTCAAACGTCAACTTGATGCTTCGTGTTTCAAGGGGCGTACAAATCAAGTCGCATGTTTAGTCGTTCCTCAAAAGCTGCGCAGATAGACTGCGCAGGCCGCTCTTGCCAGCTGGCTTCCTCCCAAGCGCCCGCGCCATGCGCAGCGCGTCTTGGACTTTTGACGACGCAAAGGTGTGCGCACGCGTGAGCGTTCAGAACCGCAGACGCACGGAAAGCGTTTCCCATTTGGAGCCGCGCGTGAAGGTCGGAAGTAGAAAAAAAATCGGCCTTGTTCTCTTCGCGCTTGGTTGGGGGGGGGGGGGGGGGGCCCCGGGGGGAAAAAACCACCTTCGGTTCGGCAAACGTTCGCCAGCCTTCGCCACTCGGCGGGCGGGTTTTGCCAGCTTCTGTCGGGTTTTCGTTCCCGCCGGGCGAGCGTCGACGACGCGTCCGAGTTGTGACGGCGCGATCCCCCGCCCTCCTCAGGCCCCGCAGCGGAGGCGGCGGCCCCCCCGGAGGTCGGCGTATGAAGGAGCTTCCCTCGGAGCCCCCCTACACCGCCTACGTGGGCAACCTGCCGCCAAACACGGTCCAGGGAGACCTGGACAGCATCTTCAAGGACCTCAGCATACGCAGCGTCCGACTCGTGCGCGACAAAGAGACCGACAAGTTCAAAGGTGAGTGCGCGCCGGCCGGCCGGCCGCAAAAACACTCGACGCTTGCTTCTCATCTCCACGCGTGCAACTTGCGGCTCAAAGGGGGGGGGGGGGTTAGGCCATCTGTCGCTTGTAGAAAAGAACGAGTCGGGATGGGAAAGTCCCCGGAAACGGACCCGCGCGTCCGTCCGGGTGATCTTGGCGGTCTCGACGGACGCGGCGCGCCATCCCGATTCACGTCACGGATTTGCCCGCCGTGCGAACGGAGTGGCGGAAAGCCATCCGAATGGCGGCCGACGGCGGAGAGCGAGAAAGGGCGCCGCCGAAGCCAGCCTCCAACGTGTTCGCTGCTCAGCTCCCCTC